CAATTTCCAGAGACCATTTTGAGGCATGTTGCTTGCCATTTGTTGCTTAATTAATGCTGCAGGTGGCGCTGCTAACGAGATGAAAGCCACGCCCAAATATAGATATATCTACATATATCTGGCTGATATTCAAGTCCTAGATATACAATTAATAAATCACTATTCCGATTTCCCGTTGAATATTGGCACTAACAGATTGCCATCCAAGATTAGTTTATTCCTATTTTTAGTTAAAATTTGAATAGAAAATATGTATAAATTATAATCTAAATATAGAAACAATAAAAATATGTTATTAATAAATAGAAAGGTGGGCTAAAAATACAATTTAAAGCCGCACATGCCATTGGCCAACAAAAGGGCCACAACAAGGGGCGGGATCTGGCCAATACCCAGAACCCTATTCAAAAGATGTATTTGCCAAAGTCCAGTCACCTTCACGCACTTTGCATAAGAGGCCACATATAAGCCAAAAATAGATTGCAAATACCATTGAAAGCTTGCCTAAAAAAAAGAAGAAATGTTAATCCAATTTCCAAAGCCAAATACAATGGCCAAAACAAAAAGACAACAATACCTGGGCCCTTTCGGTTTTGGGATGATATAATCCCGAATATAAATACGTCTGCGAATGCCAATAATGAAACAGGGCGTTGCAAATACAGATTATGTGGGGATTTGAAATCATTTTAATCGCATCGAATCGATTTATACACAGACTTATCAATCATATAGCTTATGTATCTAAACCTTTTTTTTTTTGGTTAATATATTTATTTTGTTGTTTTACGGCTAGTATGTGTGATGGTGACAAATGTCAACGAACAGCGAAACGAACCAAACAAAAGGTTCGATCAAGATTTCAAATTGTCTATTGTTGCCACAAATAATGGGCCAGAAGTAGCATCCAAGTAGCCGAGAAGATGTTCGGGCGAACGGTACTTTCAGATCCATTCTCTTCCATGGCTATACGATCGACCCGCCGCCCCATCCAGACATTCCTTGGGGGGGAGGGACTCATCTCACCATTCTGCTCATCTCACTCTCGAACGTGTTTCGTTCGTATTAATAGTCAAAAGTTCATGTGTCAGGGCGGTGAAAAACGAAATCGATTTGACGGTCAAAGACTGCTACAGTAAATACTCTATGGGTAGGAAAACAAACAAATATTTAAAAACTAGTCACAGTTGAAAAACTATTGCGGGAAAAGTCCAGGGTAACAAAATGACAGAAGTACCGGGTATCTTAGCTTATAGCAATTAAAAGTTAAGTAAAATACATAAAATTATGAACCTAAAATCTTATAAAAGTACCGGGTATCATAGAGTTTTTAATATTATTTTAATCATACCCTAAAAACATTATCTTGAAAAAAGTACCTGTTATCGTAAAGCCCTTTTCCACTAACCTGTCTCCTTCAGTTACCCTCAGCTTCTTTTCTTCTTTTAGAATCTCTACTGTAACCTTTATCTATTACCATATGAGAGCCAACATTCATTTGGAGGGTCTCTTTGACAAACTTTATTTATGTTTTTCTTCACGCTCGACCGTTAAGTTAACTGCACATTCGCTTTGTTTGGCTTATTGGTAGCTTATTGTTTTAGCCTCGTGATCTCTGAACCCTGATCTCTCGCCGGCCCTCTGACATGATTTAATTTCCACCGTCCTCATCAAAGGGAATATTTTAATTATTCGCCTCCGAGCTAGAGACTAATTAATTGCCACCTTTCAGTGGCAAGAATCTTCTTTAAATTTCGATAAACTTTGCCGTCAATTTGCCACGCCCCATCGATCGCCCATCGATCCGGAGAGGTGTGAATAACCAAAAATTCTTCTAAATAGCCGACAGTCTAATGGCCATAATGTGTCACTAAGTAGGCGTGTCCAACCAAGATGGCCAAAAGAATAGACTTGTAATTGCCCCGAAGATGTGAAGTAAAGAACACCGGCACGTGTGGGAATATTCAAGAAATGTGGTAAGAACTAATGTTTTTTTGGGGAGATAAAAAAAGGTTAAGGAATATATTGATAAAAAAAATAATTAATGAAAGGAATTTTAAATATTGAAAGGAAGAAAGAAATATTAAAGTAAGAGAAGGCTTGAAAAACCTTAACCTTAATGACTCAATTAGTTTCTGAAAATATCTAAGATCTATTAGTAGAAAAAATCAAACAAAAACTAAATAAATATCTTTATAAAATCACTAAGAACCACTAAACCCATAACACAACTTGTCGTACAAACAATAAACACATTAAAAGCAAAAATCACAGACTTTAAACTACAATCGGACACACATGTGCCATAATATTATTACAGTAACCACTCGTTTGTGGAGAATTTCCAGTAGCCTGTAACTATTTTCCCAAGGCCCCTCTTCTGACAGGAGCCTCCTCTACTCCTTACCCCCCCTCGGACATATGTGTCCGTCTTTGGTGACTTCTGATTTCTGATTCGGACAAATGCTCCTGCCGCTTCGCCTGATTTGTTCTTGAAAAACTCCGTCTATGGCAGATATTTTCCCCCTCCGGACATCACAGGTGTGTGCTGCTAAAATAGTTGACTAATTAATTTATAATGCAATTTCAATGCAATGGCTGACGGGGTCTGGCATTGGGGGGCAGAGCCAGAGGCAAGGATGATCGCTACCATTTGCAACATGAAAACCGTTTTAATACACGCCGCACACCACAAGTCGCACCAACAGCAATAGCCACGATAATAATACACTTGAAAAAAAAAACAAAGAGGTAAATTTATTATATAGGAGATATAGATGCTTTATTTAAAGAATTTCTTTTAAGGTTCTAAAGCTAAAAGTGATCAGTTTTTTTATTAAATTGAATAACAAACGTTCTTAAACCAAAATAACCTTATTTTGTACTAAATCTTAATCTAAAACTTAAATTTTTAATTACTTATTTATGTTTATATATTTATTAACAAGTTAAAGAATTATCTAAATTTTTTTGGAGTGTACTAACACCACCAACAGCAGCCGCCTAATCATTGTTTATGACATGGTTAGCCACTGGCCGACCATTTGCCTGGAAGCTGCCATCCAAAGACGCGTCTTTCGTTCTTTCTCCGCAGAATTCACGGGCTGTGTGGTCCCCCGTTCCGCCCCTTCTACTTCTCTTTCTCCTTCTCCATCCCGCCCCGGCTTTACACTTGCAAGGGAAATTTATGCAAATAGCCGGACAGATCTTTCCAAAGCTTTTGCGCAATTATCTCGCGGAACCCCAGAACTCCAGAACTCAGACCTCACCTGCTGCTGCTTTTGCTTTTTTTCTTTACTTTTTCTCTGCTTTTACGGAATGCCTGTTGAATTTGTGGCATTTGATTGAACTCGAGTGTGCCAGATGCGTAACGAGTTGATGGGGCAAGGGACTCCATTGGGGTCCGGACACTGGACACCGGACTCTGCACTACGGGGCGGAGAAAAGCTGGGGCAGGCGGGAGGAGAAGGAAGCCCAACACGTGATCGAAACGGAAAATCAATTGGAAATTCCGATGACTACCAGAAGAAAATTAAAAAACAAACAAGAGGTTTAGGTGTATAAATATATATATACGTTTTAGAAAGAAAAAACACTTGCATGTGGGTGAATTAAGATTTGGTTTACAGTGATTTAAGATTCTTAAAATCGTATTGTGGAAAGTATATCAAAAATAAAACAAGCATTTTAGTTAAATTCCCATAAAATGAATGAATTTTAATACACTTTTAAATACATTTTCCAACAAATTCAAAAACAAAACAATTTCAATACACTTTAAGCAACAATTTTAGAATGTATGTAAAATATAACATAGATAACATATAACATTAAAATTCCCTTAAAAAAAGGGAATACAAAAGAAGCTTCCACATTTTTGAAACCATTTTTTATTTAAAACTATATACTGCTTCGTAGCTATTAAAATGATTTCTTTATCAATTTTATAAAAAAAAGCACTTGCTATAACTTGCCCTAAAAAAACAAGTGTAATAATTAAAGACATACATGTAAATACCATAAACAATTAGTAACCACTGTGCAAGACAACGGCATTTGTGCAACAATTGTTGCAAGAAACCTCCATCGATTCTCTTTAACCCAAGACAGGCCAATGGCCGACATGCAAATCGGATTGAAGAAATCAAACCAAAACCTTAAGTATTTCTAAGCTATATCTGATTCTTTGGGGTTTCAAATAGAATCTGTCAGTTGGCAAGGCTTTTCCTTGCCGACGCGCGAAACCGCTAGACACTTGGATTAGAATTGGATTTGGAATTTGATTCAGTTTCCAAATCAGATTCCGATTCAGATTCGGATATCGACAAGGTTTTGCAATGTGGATGGAAATTCAAAGAATACGCACGCCAGGTAGACGCAGGTGACCGAGCTCTGGATTGCAACGTGATCTTTGATGGGACATCCGACTTAGTGTTAAGTATTAAGGCTTGAAAAAAATTAGTATTTGGTTGAAAATATTTTATTTTCAAGGTATTTATGGCCAAGTCACGAATATAATTCCCCAGAAAAAGAGTTGTTAACTGAAAAGTGGGGGATTACTAAGTTATGAGTCAGCCAAGGAAAGAATTTCTTTAAAAGTGATAGAGCTTGTTGAAAGAAGGCTACAAAAGGGTTTAGATGTCTGAAACTATTAAAAGTATATGATTAAAATATATACTCTATACGTTTCAAGATAATAATGATTTTATAATAATAAAAATAAAAGTAAAAAACTCTAAAAACCCCCCCCGAAATATACGATTCTTAAAAAGACAATCTCAGTAATATGTTTGGCAGCTGTCTGAGAGTAACTTGGCTCGACTGGGTGAAAACGTATTTTTTTCTGAAGGTCGATATGAATCAATTCCGAGACACACAGGAACTTAGAAGAAGAGGAAGAGATACGCGCGAACTACCCAGATACAGATAAAAGTGCAGAGATAGAAACAAGGACCTGCAGAGCTAGTTGCGGTAGTTCATAGCCGAAATCGACTCCCAAAAAAAGGATACAAAAAAAAAAAAGAGGAATATATAAATAAATTATAAGGTGGTGGATGGAGCGTGGGCTGTTGTTGGCTAAGATATACCACCAGAAAATATCACTGTTTCGGTTCAAGGATCTGTTCCATCAAACCGATTTCCGGATACCTCGTGTACCTCGGTGGCTGTGTATTCTCTTGGTGGTAGAGCTATTGAATGTCCTGGCTGGTGGAGTTTCAGAGTCAGAAACGACGACACCAGTGGATGCGCCAGTGGATGCGCCAATGAATTCCCATTTTTATGGATTACCGGAACGTTGCCAATATCTATTGGCCGATGTGCAGGTATTTGAACGCAAATGCCGTAGCAGTTTTCCAATGATAGTATTTACAAAATATCGGGATACGTTTATTAAGGCCGGCGAACCGTTTGCCCTCTATATGCCGGAAACACTCGATCATGTCCTTGTGCTAATGAAGGAGTCCGCGCTACAGACCTGCCATCGCTTCCAGGTCGTGGACATAGGCAAGTTCACTTGCCTCGATCGCAATCACAACGAGACGATAGTCCTGGAACAGACGCACATCTATTGCTTCCCCTTTCACATCCAAATGCCGGACGATCTGATGCACGACTGTGTCCGTGAGCAGAAGTCGAGCTACCTCGATTTGGAGGATGTCCTTCGGGCGAGGCGTGCCATCGTCCACTATACATTGAGTGGGACCTATAGTGGAGCCAATAGCATGAGACTGATGCCATGGCTCACTATCTTGACCCTAATTACAATCGTCTGTTGCTCCTGCTCGTGGTCCTGGTTCGGTTTCTCCTGCTAGCAAGTCGTTAGTTTTTATGTGCCATCATGTCTCATAAAGATCCGTCGATTTGCTAGCCGGGGCATAACAAGGCGATCGAGGAGCCTGTATATGAAGCTGCCGTGGAATCCTCAAAAGAGATTATATATCGGATGAAAAGAAATACAACGAAATAATGAACACGGACAGAAGACCAAGAACTCGCCTGATTTATCACTGGCCTTGCTCTTAGTGCATTATCGCATGCTCCTCACCAAGTCGAGTACTTAAATTAAATAGTATTTACTTATTGTTTGTTTTTTTTTTCTTTTGCTTTAATTTTATATTAAAGGGAGAGAAGGGGAAAGGTTTATGAAAATATTCCCACACTCTTCAGGTATAATCTTTATTTATAAATCAAGTAATCGAGAGGTGGGTTGAGGAATTTTCGGTTATTAATTTATTACTTGATTATGTTGTATGTCTTGAGTGATTAAATGATAAATAAATTAATTAGTTACAGGTTTTTTTCAGAAATTAATAGTATTTACAAGCCGTTTAATATTTAATTCAAATTTAAAATTTATACGTACTTATACTATGTATATTGTTGTAAAGCCACTACTCATCTCTATAGACCTAAAACAAATCATTCCATTGGCATTATTCATACCGCACTGGCGCTGATTTGTTGTCGATTTAATTGATTCAATTACGGGGCGGAATTATTTCAATCAGACTATAGCCCCAGTCCAGGGGCGTCGGCCAAAAAGGGGGCACAAGATGAAAGGGGAGTTACTTGACATGACACGAGCTATCATCGATAATTATGATGAGTATGAGTGTGAGTTATGAGTATGAACTGTATGGGTATGAGTATATGAGTAGTCGTGCAAACAAATCAAATGATTGGTTCTGATTTGCCTGCATAGCTTTGGGTGATTAATACAACGGCAGTCTACAAACAGTTTTGGCTTCCTTCAGTCAACGATTGAATGATTGAGTGATTGACTTTTCCGGAAGAAAGCCACTCGTCAGATTGTGATTGCATAAGCCGTTTCAATGGCTTTTTAATTTAATTTACTCCTCAGACACATTCCTGATCGAATATTTATTTCGATTCTGCATAACCTTTGAGAGTTAAATTTTTGATTTATTTGAGAAATCAATTTTATTCTCACCTTCTTTGCTCACCCGTTGAGCTCTGTCTGTTCTTGTTTAGTCTTTAATTTAATACTTGTATTTAATATGTTAATCTTAAATAATCGTAGAGTAAGAAAAATGATCAAGCTGATTTAACGGCATTCAAATTGAAATTCTGGTTTTTATGTTTGTTTATGCATATTTCTGTTTGTTTTTGGCCTTTGATGGAAATATGAATTTATTGATTTTGTCATTAATGGGATTTCCTTTCAACGCAACAGGTGGCAATTGTCATGCTCAGCCTGTGTTCCCCTTTACCTTACCCCGTTTCTTTTTACTGATTTATGGTTTGGCTTATTCTTTAGTTTTTATTCTGTGTTTTGCTTTTTGTGAGGTAACTGATAAATTATATAGAAATATATATATATATGCTCGTAGTATGATCGGAAGTTAACACTCCATTTGCGGCAAGTGCTGACGTTCTCCATATTAAATATTTTCAAGTCTGATGTCGCATGCCTCAACTTCCGCTGCCCCCTTCCTTGATTTCGGAATTGTGTCACGGAGAATCGGGGAATTGAAGTACCAGAGAATTGGAGAATCGGTGAGTCCAAAATATAGAATCGGAAGCTTTCAATATGCGTACATTGTGCCAGATTTCTTGTTTTTGATTACAACTTTAAAGGGTAGTTCTGGAGGTGGCTCTTAAAAAAAGGTTTTAAAATAGAATTATAAATATTTTTAGGCTAGGGTTTTTTTACAAGCTGGACTTTATAATTAGAGTCTCATTTCTTAAAGAAAATAATTACTGTTTCAAATTTTATAATTTATAAATTAAAACAAGTATATATTTGTGATTACAAACCTTTGGACTTCTAAGAACCTCTTAAGTCCCCTACTATAATTTCTTAAATAATATTTTAATTCAATTTAGCTTTAAGAAAAATTTTATACTTAGTTGGTTTGATTACAGGGTACTATACACGTCGTTTTTCCAACCAAATTCTCACTTACCCATCCATCTTTTTGCATTTTTCATGGATAGTTGTTATAATCAATTTTTGGGATACAATCAGCTTTATGGTTTATTGCACTTGATATTGCCCATTGTTTTTAGTGGCCATTGGCCAATTTGTTGTAATTTTTTTTAGCCATGACAATATCGACCTTCCAAATGGAGTTCGTTGGCCACTTGGCTGCCGGCTATATTTTCGTGTTAATTTTTTGTAAGCTTTTTGGTTTGCTTCGTTTTTCATTTAGTTTTCGATTTGTTTATTTGTTGTTTCGTTTTGGGGATCGCTTGGTTGATTAGTGGCTTAGAGAACCGTTAAACTTTGGCGCCCCCCCTCCTCCCCTCCTGATCCTCTTGACCGTGGACACCTGACACTTGACACTTGACACATGACACCTGACACACAGGCGACGACAGCAAAAAAGCAAAAGCAAATGCCTTTGGGGCTGGAATTTCGTTTGGATTTTGGTTTTTTTTCCCGAAGACTAACTATAGGTATTTGGATTTAAATTTTCATGGTTTTTTTGTGGCTTGGATTTGGCTTCGGAATTGAGATTCTTGCTTCATTAATCGCTCGCAATTAAGCGCCACTTTATTTCAAACTTCACACTTTGTTGGTGGCGATTTGTTTGCCTTGATTGTTTACTTTCGCAGCTTCTTCAGCCTTTCTTTTATTTTTTCTTAACTTTTTTTTTTGGCTGTTGGTTGTTGGCTTTTGGCCTTTTGGGTTTTCGGTTTCGAATGCATTCAATCAGCGCCTTTGATTGATGTCTTGGCTAGATGGCACGTGTCTTGTTTTTTTTCGATTCAAGGGTTTCACATTCCGAACTGTTAACGGATATGGAAAGCCTATTCAGGGGCAATCCGAAGACTTGGCTAAGATTAATAGGCCCCAAAGGGTAAAAAGTTTTGAAACAGAAAAGCAAATAAAAGAAGACCACAAAAATGGTTTAACGAAATCCTTTGAAGTGTTTGTTTTAAGCTAAAAGAGTCGTTTTAAAAAGCTATTGAAGGAGGTTATTTGATTTAATTTTAATTTTTTTTCTTAAGTTATAGTTAATATTTTCAACGCTATGTGTAAAGCTTCATAGTATTTTCTTATCTTTACTTATATTACCACACCAGTTACCTGCACAGAGTCATTAATTCGAGAAAAAAAGTAAAAACCAACTGAGCTTGGCTTGGGTTCTTAATTGAGAGAATCTTCTTCAATTGCCGGAAGACGGATGGATGGGATCTCTGGCCACAGATGACTGCACCCAGCTCTACCTATAAACGTGCTATATCTTACCTTATACATATAGAGTGTATTTATTTTTTTTATTTCCTATAAACCGCACCGGCTGGGATATCTCTCGAGAGGCGCACTTTAATCTGGTTCTGCGCACTGAGCGCATTAATTATGCGTTCCAAAGCGATGTCTGGAATATATATCTATATATATCTTTATATAGTACATATATAGTAGGTACTTTTTTGGTTTACTGGTTAGAAGAAGCACAAGATTCTTGGCACGAGTTGGTTAATTAATTTAATTAATGTTTTACCAAAGCCGTCGACTTTAACGCTATCAGAGGCGCTTGGGCCACACGCTGTTGAGCAGCAGCAGCAGTAGAAGCGCCTCCCCTTAGCCCCTCCCCTGTTGCCACTAAATTCTAACGGTAGCAGGTATATTAAACATGCCACACACACAGACACACTCACACACCTGATAGAAAGAGAGGCCAGCGCAGTGGGTGAAGGAAAGAAAGAGCTGTGGCTGCCTTTAACCCTCGACGATGATGTTTATGACCCTTTTTGTTTTTCTACTTAAAAGTTTTTATCAAAAATTATTTAAATTTCATTTTTTTCGATTCGGGTTCTCTTGATTCGGTTTTTATTTTCAATTAGAGCCAAGTTTTATATCAACAGTGGGCCATAAAACTTCTTATCATTCCGGCAGCCTTGCATTTCTAATGAAAATTTATGGAACACATCGGTTTTAGTTTGATTTTTGATTTTTTTCGGTTCGTTGTTTCTGTGACTTTTCTGTCAAATTTGTTTCTTTCGGGCTTATATTGGTGGAATTTCCATCAGGGCATTTACAAAACTTGTTCGTCTGATTCTTATCATTTTGGTAGCAGAAACTTTCTATTGTTCGAATCGGTTTCCCACTCGTAAAAATTGCAATTTGTTGTCTCTAATCACCATTTAAATTTTTGTTGGTGAGGCTTCTGATAAAAAACTAGAATATTCTTGGTCCATCAAAATATTTAAGTGGTAATCAACAAAAATACAAAGAAACGTAGCAGGTAGTTTTTATTTTTTAAACATAAGTAGACCTTTTTAAAAGTAAGACACCAAAAATAGTCCTTATTTTATTTTATAAATTAATATCATTTTTGTGTTTTATTGATTTTTTATGATGATATTTCTTATCTTTAGTTTATTTTATTTAAAACATTATAATGTATTTATTATTTATTTTTTTTTACTTGGATTTTCATTTGTTGCTGCTGTAGAAGTTGCTTCGGTTACTCCTGCTTGTTCTTTTTTTCTGTTGCTGCCACTGCCACAGCCTCTGCCTTTGCCACTGCGGCTGCTGCATTTTATTGATTTATGCGAATGCGGCAAGCTTCAAAGCCAAATTCAAGGCATGACTGCAACCGCAACAACAACGATTACAATTCAGCCTGCAACTTTCTGGGTTGTGGGACACAAAAATGTGGCAGTGAATAGCAAATGGTTTAAATAAAATAATATTAATATAAAATAATACAATTAATATAAATACAAAAAAATAGTACTACAATAATACAATAATAATAATAAAATAATACAAAAACTCCTTAAAATCCAAAACTCCTATTTTTATAGCCTAGACCGTAAAAAGGCAAAACATATACGAGCCAGTATGTGCAACATTTGCACTATGTTCTGTGGCAATTGTAGATTATCAATTTTCTTCGTTTTGTTTTTCTTTTTCTGTTTTTCGTTGAAATTATAGCATAAAAATGCCTTTTGGGCAGGCACACTAGTGCGCGGCCAATGCGGCGTATACGTAATGTTTAGTGGAAAACTAAAAAAGAGGTGGGGAAACAACCCAAGTGGCAATGTCAAGAAAAATACAAAAAAAAATGGAAACTATACGAAAAAAACGACAGCATTAACG